TTTGAACGCTCGTGTACATTGAAACTACACGTATCGTAAAAATATGATGTTAAGAATAGATATCTCATAAATTTTCATCGAAAATAAACATGTGTAATTGCACTGTCCCTAATGTATTATGGTGAAATCTAATAAACGACAATGTGCAGTAGTGTATAGTACCACCCTTGTTTTGGACACTGGTATATACTCGAATTATATGTATCAGTAAATAAGATGTTTGCAATAGGTGTTTAAAAAACTTACACACAACAAACACATTTATAAATGCAAAAGTTTTTCAGTTAATATAACAAGTCACATAATGGGAGATTTGCCCTAGACTGGATATAAATTATTCGGCATCGTCTTTCTAACCTTATCTATATATTAATCTGTTAATAATCTATATAATTAACAAACCAAACGGGTTTGCAACTAATCACCTAATCTAATCCAACAAAAATCTATGTGATTAATAAATTAGATTAATAAAAAAATGGACCCTTTAGACGAAATGGATACTAAATACTTGAGATTGCAGTTCTTACCTAATTTAATACAAAAAAATCTATTGTATATATATATGGTTAATATTACAAATATCACAATGGTTTATTCTAACGGAATCGATCCTAAATTCTTGAGATGGACGTTTTAACCTAGCCTAACAAAAATCTATATACCTACCATATACGGGTTAATATAACAAATATTACATTAGATCATCCAACTTAAATAGATCCTAACTTCTTGAGCCTTCTGTCTCTCTCTCTCTCTCTCTCTTGCCACTTAATATAACCAAATACAACAAAAATTTATATATGTATATGAATATATATATACATATGTATGTACATTATTAAATTTTTTATTAAAACTATTGTCGTAAAATCACCCAAAAGCCAGTACTGCGGCCAGAAGAATCCTTTTGCTCCAAATTCCACTTTTTATTACACAAAGCCTTTTAAAGTTTTGTGTACAAAGTCCAGAACTAAAACTGGAGAAGATTTCTTCATGTGTTCTAGTGACAGAAATTCAAAATGTTTCCCCAAATTACCAGAAATATACGTATGTACATACATACATATGTACATAAAACAAAGTTTAGTGTTTTCTTCATCAACCCGAAATAACTTAATATTAACTGGTAGATTAAGAAATTGCTATAAAATCCTATATTAGTATTTAGTAACATAAAATCAATCAATTTGTTCTAATTTATTATTTGAGTTATCTAACAATTATCTAATTTAATGTTTTAATCTAGTTTTTCGGATACATATTGAAAAAAAAACCGGCTTCTCTAAAAAGTTGACTCGAACTGCTTGATATCCCAAACAACGCTAAGATTTTATACTTCAGTCATGATAAGATAACACTTCATAAAATTATTTTAATGGATCAGTGCACCTATAAAACTTCTTTAAAATCTAAAATATGAACTAATAAAAACTGAAGATTAATAGAGCATTCAAAATTAATAAGAAAAAAAGCCCGGCCAAATACAAGAGTGAAGACAGAAGCAGACCGAAGAGCAAAACTGGCCAAATCGCAAAGACTAAATGGTTTACGTGTTCCAATGTGTAAACTAAACTAACTGTTCATGGTCCGCCCAGAGCTTAATTGGTTTTAAACAGTAGTTTTACTTGTTTTGGGCATCACATCGCATTCATCTAAAAAACCTAACACCCACAATATTTTCATTTATGTATCCATTAAAATAATGAATATTAATTTTACATCGAAAACTTGTTTAAACGCTAAATTGCATCTCAAACTGGAAACTAATAAAAAAAGCAAACAGAAAAAAATATATATTTTTAAAAAAATATAAAATTAATTAAAAAAACAAAAACAAATCTGTATATATTTGTATTGTTATTGATTGATAGTTATTTTAATATCTGTAAGCAGCTTTGTACAAACGAACGCACATATGAAGACATACTTGTGTATTATCCATAAACCTACTCTAAACTCCATCCACACAAAACGAGAGCATGATTCATTTATGATTCAATCATACAAATGTATGTGTTTCTACATTTTGCTAGTGGTAGGAGTATTAGTGATGCTAAAATCAATATTATTTGGTATTCGATAGAATTGCATAGTTTCGTTAAATAAATGATGTTGCCATATTAATACTTGTATGCACAGAAATGTTGGTTTCAAAATGTATGGTTCGAATTGATATGTATAGTTTATTTATTTTATAAAATTCAGTATTTTTATTTATTTATTTACGCTGATTAAGGCTTATATGAATAATTTAAAGATATATAAAATAAAAAACATAATATTAATGGAATAACAAAACTTTAGTTTAAAATTTAAGAAAATTATTTTCAAACAATAATCCAAACCCTAGAACTACCATTGTCTCATTTAAGCGATTTTGCTCATTACAGCTACTGAGGAGAATGATTAACTGTACAAAAATCTTTCGTATAATGATATATTATTATCATATCATTATCAATAAAAACAGGTCATTTAAGGCGATAAATGTCGATTGCAACCCTTAAAAATAAATTTCCCGTAAAGGAAATTACCAATATTTAAATTATGTGTCATATGTTTGATATGTGATATGTAAACAAAGGAACTGAGGAAGTAACTATTAAATAAAATTTTTATTTTTATTAATTTCATATGTAATTGATATATAAAATGTATATAAATGCTTAAATACATCAATTATATATATAATTTATTTGTATCATATATTATTAAGTGAAGTTTATAAAAGCTTATGAAAGTTCTATCAGTTGTATAAATAAGCTCATTATTATGTGAACGTTTACTCATTAATATAAATGAGCAAATGCCTAAATGAGACAGTGTGAATGTATTATAATAATAGCTTAATTTACATTTACATTGAAATTTTTGTTAAATTTCTCCAAAGCTATGAGTAATAAATTTCTTTCGTTTATAAGTACATTTTTGCATTACACAGCTGCTTTCAGCTTAATTTCACGCAACTGTCAAATGTTTCCAACCCATAAACTAAATAATATCTTTATCAACTGTTCGGATTCTGTTCATTTTGAACATTGAACATCTAATTACATTAATTGGATTTAAGGCAGATAAGATTTTAAGAGTTTTGCTAAATATTATTGATCTAAACATTTTGATAAAGTTGATAAATTGTGCCATACATTTTGTATGACATATGTATATGAAAACTATATTATTGACACTTGCAATTGTTAATACAAATACAGTTAAACAGCTGACCATACAGTTCAACAATAATCTTAGTTTTCAAACAAATATATAAAAATTAAAATAAAACAAAATAATATTTCCAAAAAGACCATCTTCAGGGTACTGACCATGGACTATAATAGAAATATTGGCGGCAATAAAATATATGTTTTGAAATTCATTTAAAAAGTTGTATTATTTAAACAATTGACCAATTGTTATACCGTTCAAAAATATACATAATAATTATATATAACTAATATATACTCGAATATAATAAATAGGTCAATATGTATGATTATAATTATTCAAGTGGCAACACATTTTTCGTTGCCCACACAAAAGTAGCTTCGATAAAAATGATCGATCCGTTGGTTATTTTTTGCTTTTTGCTTTGAAAATATGACGAAACCGAGGTGTGGCCGCTTTGCGATGCTTAAACATTTTCATTCGTGATTTCTCCGTTGAGGTGTTCAGTTGTCTGGTTCTCGTGCTCTGAGAAAACTAAAAAAGTTATTTAATTTTTAAGTACAAAGTATTAAAAAAAGTAATTAATTCAATATGAGAGAAATTGTACATATTCAAGCCGGTCAATGTGGTAACCAAATTGGTGCAAAGTTCTGGGAAATTATTTCTGATGAACATGGTATCGATAGTACCGGTGCCTATCATGGCGACAGCGATTTGCAGTTAGAACGCATCAACGTGTACTACAATGAAGCGTCTGGTGGAAAATATGTGCCACGTGCCGTTTTGGTAGATTTGGAACCAGGCACTATGGATTCAGTGAGATCTGGTCCATATGGTCAATTATTTAGGCCAGATAATTTTGTTTTTGGTCAAAGTGGTGCCGGTAATAACTGGGCGAAAGGACATTACACAGAGGGTGCCGAACTCGTCGACTCTGTTTTGGATGTTGTACGAAAGGAAGCTGAATCATGCGATTGCCTGCAAGGTTTCCAATTGACACACTCACTTGGTGGTGGTACTGGCTCAGGTATGGGTACACTACTTATCTCAAAAATTCGCGAAGAATACCCCGACAGAATCATGAACACCTATTCAGTAGTACCATCACCAAAGGTGTCAGATACCGTTGTCGAACCATACAATGCCACTCTATCAGTTCATCAACTTGTAGAAAACACCGATGAGACCTACTGTATCGATAATGAAGCTTTATATGACATTTGCTTCCGCACATTGAAACTCACCACACCAACATATGGCGACTTGAACCATTTAGTATCATTAACAATGTCTGGTGTAACTACCTGCCTGCGTTTCCCTGGTCAACTGAATGCCGATTTAAGAAAATTGGCTGTAAACATGGTACCATTCCCACGTCTACATTTCTTCATGCCTGGCTTTGCACCATTGACATCAAGAGGTTCACAACAATACCGTGCATTGACTGTGCCAGAATTGACACAACAAATGTTCGATGCCAAGAACATGATGGCTGCCTGTGATCCACGTCATGGTCGTTACTTGACTGTTGCTGCTATCTTCCGTGGTCGCATGTCAATGAAGGAAGTCGACGAACAAATGCTCAACATTCAAAATAAGAACAGCTCATACTTCGTTGAATGGATTCCAAACAATGTCAAGACAGCCGTTTGCGACATACCACCAAGAGGTTTGAAAATGTCAGCCACCTTCATTGGTAACTCAACTGCCATCCAAGAACTCTTCAAGCGCATTTCTGAACAATTTACTGCTATGTTCCGTCGCAAGGCTTTCTTGCATTGGTACACTGGCGAGGGTATGGACGAAATGGAATTCACTGAAGCTGAAAGCAACATGAACGATTTGGTCTCTGAATATCAACAATACCAAGAAGCTACAGCTGATGAAGATGCTGAATTCGAAGAAGAGCAAGAGGCTGAAGTTGATGAAAACTAAGAACATCTCTAATTATAGAAAAAAAATAAAACAGAAACTGCTGAAATAAAATTATTTATTAACCTAAGTAAAAAGTGAATGAAATCAAATCTCTAAAAGGCATTGTTAATTCTTTTTTTTATTAACACAAAAAATAAAAAGTCAACTAATTTCGATTAAAATAAATTATTCCATGTTTTTTAATTTAAAATCATCATTTAAAGAAAAAGGGTAACTTTAAAGGTAATTTACATTAATTATTTCATTTTCAATTTTTTTTCGAAATTTCTTAGAAAAGTTACGCAGCAGTTGCCATATTTAGCCGCGCTTCATACTTTTTCATCGAATACATACAAACACTGCCACAACAACAATAGTAAAAGTACAGAAGGCACCATTTTGCAGTGGAATGTTGTTGTTTTTTACCGTACAAACGACAGAGAATGTAAAACGAAAGCAAGAAAAAAGAAGCAAGTTTGCCGGACGCAGCAGCATAACGGCATCATGCAGATTTCTCCACTGCTTTTTGTCTGTAAATAATTTTCATGGGCAATTCATCAATATGATAAAATCGATTAAAATCAAAATCTTTTGAGGAGGAAGCCTTAATTATAAATTTTTAATGGTTTTGCTTGCTTATTATGCTTTAATATGTTATTGCTTAATAAAAAGAGGGAAACGATTAATTAGAGTTAGAAAGGTTAAAATAAAAATTCACACGCAATTCTCAAAACAAGCAACAACAACAACAATTCGTGCGTGTATAAACGAACAAACTTGTATATAATGAGATCATCAAGTTATTGCATTATGACATCATACACACAAAGCAATAGTTAGTTCATATAAGAATGTTAACTACTTTTGAGCCCACCTCATTTTTTTTTATTTTTAAACCACACTTAAAAAGGTTATGAGTCGAGTCATAGTTAACAACAACAACAATAGCAATTATATTATATTAAAAGCTTTAACTGTGACTTGGCTTTCATATCGAGCAAGAGCGAGAGAGAGAAAAAAACAGCAAAAACGACAGTATAAATAAATACTGGAACAAATTCATAAATTCTTGTATTGTTGTTGTAATGGGGCCACCACAGCTGGTGTATTATCAATAAAATTCTAATAGGTAAAAGTTGCTTTGCATTGAAGTAAACAGTATTTAGATAAATTTATACAAAAATATTTGTTATCAAATAGGAAATTTGCAAGAGATAAGTATTTAATAATAAGTTTTATGTCAACCAAATACCATCATTTTTTTTTTTGCTTCACATTTGACTATTTTTTTCTTCATGCACATTTAAAATTGCTTTCGTATACAGAGAAAAATTCTTGTACCGGCTTAATACAAATACGTTTATAATATGTAAATGTGTGTGAGTGTTGTGTATGCTTGGAAAAAATTGTATTGCAAAACCAGTTCGTATGTATACATGGTTGTGTGTACATGCATGGCAATACAATCTATTTTACCGCAAAAGTAGTCAACTATATTTTATTTATTTCTATGTAAAGAGAGTACTCACAAGAGAGAGAGAAAGAAAGAAAAGAGCAAAAAAAATATGCCGCACGGCTACCGTTGTTATCCAGCCAACATATTGAACATGTACAATATTGTTTTTGTTGTTTTTTTTAATGATTTTTTTCCTATAGAAAATGTGTAGAGAAATCTTTTTTTTTTTATAAATTTCTCAATAATAATTGTATATGTGTATAGTTTTATAGCAGAAAACCAAAAAAATAACAAAACGTAAATAAAAACAACTGCTTTCTGTGACGCTGGCCAAACATCTGCTACGTCGACGCCCTTAGTTTTATTATAGTAGTGTTGTTGTTGGTGTATATTGTATATACATATTGTACATCTCTCAATATTAGCTTTTGAAAAAATGCATGTTTTTGTCTTTAATTTATTTTAAAATTTTCTAAGTACAACTGAAAATTTATTTTTTAAGCGACCAAATTAGTTATCTCTTCAGGCTAGTGAACTTTAAATTTATAAAAATAGCAAAAACTATTTTTTTTGTTTTTGTTTTTAGGTTTGGCATTAAGTACTTGTAATATAGGAAAATGCGAATGTCGGCATGTGGTATGTGCGTTGCATACATCCGTTCTTTAATTATTTACATCCTTAAGTAGTGTAGTGTATAGTAGCTTGTGTATATACAAGCAATTTTATTTACTAACCACACGCCTTGCCAAATATATAAATTACATACATACATACATAGATATACGTATGTAATCAATATATTCAAATGCCGGGTTGCCTTTATTACCAGGTGTGGTGGTAAGGTAAACACAACAA